CGGGGCAGAAGCCCCGAACCTTAGCCAGAGGCCCCCCCGCATCTCCCTGCTCCCCACGCACCCGACAGCCCTCCCACGTCCATCTTCTTGAGGTTTTTCGCCTCCAGGACGATGACGGTGAGCTTCCCGGTCGTGGGGACATAGCGGAGGGAGAAGCAGATGTCCCCCAGCTTCTCCTGCTGGAAGGCCGAGGGGACGGGGGAGCCAGCCGGTCACCGCAGCCGCGCAGGCCCGTCCCTCGCAGCCCTCCCTCCACTGGCCCCGCCCCACGTGGCGCGCAGGGGGCGGGGCGTGCGCGAAAGCCTGGGACATGATTGGCCGCGGCTGTGGGGGCGGGCCCAGCCGGGGCGGGGCCCCGCGTGCTCACCTCCTCCCGCGGGGCCTCCTGCAGCTCGCGCCAGGCCTGCACCGGGCGACCCAGGTCCACGGAGCTCATGGGGACCCGCACCTCCCCGATGGCGTCGTTGCGGGAGAAGCGGTCGAAGTCGTACACAGCCATGACGAGCACTCTGCCCCCCAACTCCACGTAAGGGACCTGGGGCGCGGGTGGAGATGGGACCCAGCTCGTCCGGGTAGAAGCATTGAGAGGCACGCCGGGACCCAAAGGCACAGTGGGGTGAGAGGCTCCCGAATCAGCGGGAACCCAAACAACTGCCCAAGGACCAAGAGAACTGCCCAAGGGTCATAGGGCCCCAAGTGGAGAACCCAGGGTCCAGTGGACAGTCCCCAGAGCGGGCAACGGGCAGCTGAACTGTGGCTGCCTCCAGAAAAAGCTGAACGGGTCAGTCCCCCAGCGATCCGGGAGTAGGGGGGGACGGACGGCGCGGCACAGGGCACCGAGGGCGCGCACCTTGAATGCGAAGGTCTCCCCAAAGTGTGGGTTCAGCGTCCGCCGGTGCACCTTGGTCTCGTGCCGCCTCCGCTTGTCCGGCAGCAGGCAGACTCGCACATAGGGGTCGGAGGAGCCGCCCAGGTCAAAGGCCGCCAACCCCTCGGCTTTTAGGATGCCCACCATCAGCTGCGCAGAAACGGGAGAGCGGCCGCTCTTGGCTTCCCGCTGGAGCCTCCGCTCAGAGGCTACACTCCCCGGGAGCCCTCTTCCCCACACCTGCCTGGCCACTCTGGAAGTCGTAATCCAGTGAGTACTGCAGACGTCCGAGCTCACGCTTCTCTGCGGGGGGCGGTCCTAGCCCGGGGGGCGCCGGCTCCAGCTCCTCCACTTCTGGCTGCACCTTAACAAACCAGGAGGAGGGCAGGTGGGCCTCCCCGATAGTGGAATCCCCCAGACCCAGACGCCAAGGGGGACTCCCAGGTCCCTCAGCTATTCCTGAGCCCTGCTGCTGAGCAGAGTCTGTGACTGATTAGTGCTGTCGCCCATGGGCAGGCCACAGCTGTGGCACACAGTGGTGTGGGGTGTTTGCCAGTGTTTGACCTGTGGTATCTGTGACGGAGAAGAGCATAGAGGTGGAAATGCAGGTGCTGTTTGTCCAGCCCAGACTAGGAAAACAAGTGCTGATCGCGTCACTGCCCGCAGGAAGAGGTAGGGAGTTTCACGTCACACGCTAATGGAGGTACTGGGGTGGCTGACCCCATCTCCATGTTGATCAGTGATCCGGCCATAGCAAAACGTGCAGAAATGTCAGGTGTACTGTGTTGGTGACATTCGTACCCAGGACAACAAGATGAGCAGATTTCTCAACCGAAGCCCCAATTTTCAAAATTTAGCTGAATCAGAATCCCCCTGAGTAGTGTGGTGAGCTGCATTCACTTAAGAGATTCTGATGCAAGACCCGGAATTTGCGCTTTAACTGTTACTGGCTTAAGGGATGAAAATGGAGGCTGGATCCCAGGACCCTAAAGAGCATGCCTTATGGCAATAATTATAGTACCGATTTGCTGAGAGGGGCGAGGGGGAAATACTATTGACAGTTCAAGCATGAGCCTGAGGCTGAATGGAGCAGGGAATTTCTCAGGGCCACACAGCTGGAAAGTGCTTCTCTGAGTTGGAACCTCAGGTTCTCCGAGCCCCAGATGCATGGCCCCAGGCTGTCAGAACTGCCACGCCAGCTTCCTCCGTGCTCTGTGCCCTAGATCTGCCCTGCACACCCCAGCACCCATCTGACCCTGCCTCTCCTGCTCCACACCCAGGTGGGGCTGCCGGTTGCCCGGGTTACTGCTGAGCTCCTGATGTTGTTAGCTTGGGTCCCGTGGGGATGCTTGGGTCTTCCGGGCAGTCAGGTGGCCTCTCTGCAGCCTAAATGTCCACCTGCCCCAGGGTCCAGGCATCCTGTGCCCTGAGAACCTATGTGTCTGCTCTCCCCGGGGAGTCGGTACCTAGGTCTGGTCCACCTTCAGGTCCCCAGCTTCAGTTTAGGGCTGGGCACACCGGGGAGACAGCGAGTAAGGGGGTGTGGGCGGGCAGGAAGCCAGGATTGCTGTTGCCGGGCCAGGGAAAGGGGCAGAGAGGCAGGCAGGGGCAGGGCTGGGGCCAGGCCAGGCTGGGCACCTTGTCGATGTAACTCCGGCCCAGCTCCTTCACCTCCTGCAGGTGGACCTGGGCTTGGGCCTGGCTCTTCTTGCCCAGACGCCTTCCACAGCGCTTCCGGTAGAGACAGAAGCAGCAGCTGAAGACGACGAAGCTGGAGGCCAGCACGATGGCTGCCAGGGCCCAGGGCGGCACTGCAGAGGGCACGGAGACAGCAGACACTGACGCCCTGGGAGGCAGGCCGGCCGAGGCCACCCGCAAGCCGGGGCCCCGTTTCCCCTCCAGCCGTCTCCCCTTTATTTCACACCGGTGTTGTTCTTCCAATGGATCTCGCCTATAAAGCGACCTGATTACCTAACCCGGGCTCACACCATCCAGACGTGCTTGCCCACGAGTTCCTTCTTCCACCTCCATTCTAATTTCTGTTCAGTGCCCTTATGCCCTCAAGCCCTGCTTCTCCTGGGGCTCAGTTTCTCTATCTTTAAAAGAAGGTGGGGGCTTGCAGTTCCCCAGTCCAGGACCCCTTTCGGCTCTACACCCCCTGATGTGGTTCTGGAGGGAGAAGGTGTTCTTGCAAGCATGTTTGCATTTCCTTCAGATTCCAGTTCAGGATTCCAGTTCAGGATTCCGAAGATGACCCCAACCGGATTTTGCAGCCCGCCAACCCGAGGACGCCCATCCGAACCCCACCCTGCAACACCAGCCAGACTTTCCTTCCACTCCGGCCAGGGGTTCTTGCTCACCAGGACTGTGGTTGATATGACTGGAGTCAGGAGGCGTGTCGGGAGCAGGAGGCCCCGGGGTTGGAGGCTCCGGAAACATGGCGGCGGGCTCTTAGGGTCCTTTCTGTGGAGGTACCCAAGCTCCCTGGCCCCCCGACACCCACCCGGCGCCTCCATTGAAGGCTTCGTACAACAGAGAACTCCAACTCCCATCGGCCCCCTGGGCGTCCGGCCGCACACCGATCGGCCAGCAGCCGCGAGGCACGCTGGGGGTTGTAGTTTCGGCCTCCCCGCTACGGAGGGCGGGCCCGGGGGTGGGTGCGAGGACCAAGTTCCACCCCAAAGGGACACCCTCCCTCGGAGGCCCCCGCAGGAATCCCGTGGACGCCTGCCCCTCCCAGGGCCGGAGCCGGAAGTGGGCCACGGCTGGCGTGGGAACCCGCGCACTGGGTTGCCCAGAGCAACAGCTGGCTGCGTTGGGGCGAGGTGCGAGGTACGCTGGTTGTCCCGGCAACGCCGGTTGCCACGGCAACGGGCGGGGCTAGCGCGCGGAAACCCAGTCCCCTCAGAATAAGCTCGCTCCACCCGTGGGGCCTGCACCCCAGACCCTGGTTTCCCCCGATGAGCGAGGGTGGGAGGGGGGGGCCTTCCGGGGGCGCACGGCCTGCTCCTGCCCCTCTGGCCCCCGGAGCCGAGACTCGGGCTCTCTCCCTCTCCACTCTGGGGGGCCGAGCGGGGGGGGGGGGGG